AGAGTCATACTCCAAGATTGTAACTTGAGTGACATATCTTAAAGAAAGGTTTAAAACACTTGTCAAATGTAAGAGTAAAAGTGTCATACTCTTGTACATTTGAAATTGGTAAGTTGTGATGTTTTGGATAAAACAAAGACCAACTAAGGCCAATTGTGTGAAGTGTTTGTCTTGATAAAGAATCCGCACTATCTCTTGAATATTTGGCAAGATAATCTTATATGTCAAGAGGATAGTGGGAGTCTTAAAGATCCTAAAAAGAATTTCAAGAACTAATCAAGAATAAAACCTGAGGTTCTTCACCAGCACACGACTTGAGGTTTATAACCTATCGTGTTGACATATTCTGTGCCCATTCCAGTTAAAGTTGGCTTTGCATAGGAGTTCTGAAAGTTCTCAATTGGTTGCATAACAACTTGGAAGCAATGGCAGACCCTGTACTGCCAGGTGGCAAGAAGTTAAGATTGCATAAGTTCAGTCCATATGAGTTTGGATTTGTCATTATCCTTGTCTTGTGACTATGGTTTTGACGATTCACATGGATAAGAACACATACACCATAAAATCTAAGGGTCATAAGGTTTCTCTCCGATTCATGAAAATGATGGTGAGGAAACACTTCCACCAAGTAGATTTGAAGCAGATGGCAAAAGGTCTAAACAATTGAGACTATGATTACGGCATCCCTTTTCATAGTTCTGAAATTGTTTAGACACACATGCATGCTATCTAAGGAAAGGTGTATGATTTTGATAAAGTTTTATCAAAGCACCTCGTATCAGAAATCTGAACTTTGGTAAGAAAGTCAATAAAGTATTGATTTCTAGAAGTCCAGCTGATTTCTGAGTACATGTCAAAGCTAGTGGGAGCATAAGTGTTATGCTAATAATCATCATGTTAGTGGGAGCATGATAATTATTGTTAGTGTTGCAAGTTAGCAATGTTAATTATAGAAAACAAAAGTTTCAATTCGTGAGGCTGTAGGGATTGAAAAAGTTGTTTTGCTATAATTAAGGGAGACGATATACTTCATTTCAGTTCTAAAGGCTTAGATTGAGACCATAATCATCTTTAGTCAAGAATATATAGATGAATTTCATGGTGGATTGGTTCAACTTAAGGAAATTATATATATTGCGTTCTCAAAATTCGATTATGATTACGGCATCCCTCTTCATAGTCAAATTTTGAAAACATGGCAAATAAAAATATTGTAGCAAAAGACTGGTCTAGAATCATGTCTTTATGTGAGACATCATGAATCGTGTACCATTTGCTTTGGGTACAGGATCGATTGCATGTGCTATAATATTTGTCATTTCTAAAATTTTCCAAATGCCCAGAGGCATTAAGAAGGGAAAAGGTCTAGAATTGGATATGACTAAAATGATTAAGCAATTGTCGAGGACAATCTGAGGTTTACCAAAGATTGGTTGCTCAGGGACAGTTGGAAGTATAGTGCTAATTTTGGAAGGACCATATTATATTCTGAAAAGAGGCATCTCTTATTCAGAAGTGATAGTCAAAATGAGAATATGGAGTTGTCTCCATAGGTGGAAGTTATCTGTGTAAGATTAGAAAACTTAATGCAAGAAGCATGTCCAAAGCAATGTACTTTGAATATGAGACTTAGTTTCCATGGAGTTGATCTCCATTGGAATACCTTATAATGACTGTTGACAAGTCTTTGTGACTTTGTACATATTCATTACAGGAGGGTCAGTGCATATAAGTTTAAAATCTAAACAGATTTCGATAAATGATAGGAATTTGAAATTCTCACATTTTTCGATAAGGATTTTGGAGTGTGAAATTAGAATCATTGAAATTATGTTCAATTGGTTTATTTCACAAAGTAAGGATCATAGACAAACATAGAGTGCATACTTGGTGTATGGCAAAGCTATTATTTAAGAAAAACATTGTGTACATGCTTAGAGCATGGGACAACTAGTGGTTTTAATTCAAGTATAAAGTTGATAAAACCGAAACAATGAATAATGAGTAATCAGTATGGTGATAAATAAAAGTGTTTATTTATATTCATAGGGTTTGATACCATATTTGATTCATTTATTCTTGTGTTTCACTTTGCATGTTTTGACTTCCAGAATAACTAAGTCGCTCTTCCTGAATGATTAAGTTATTCAAACCACCCACAGTCGGTCATATGTTGGAAGTAGATATGAATCAAGACTGTCATGGGTTGGTTTGTAGAGTTCCAAGTTGGTGGACAAAGTGGTGCTACAACACTCATGAGTGCTCATAAGTTCTGAGTATTGGATTCAACCCACGCTCATTTGAATCACTTCATGGATTTTATCACGAGTGATCATGAGACGATAATATCTTATATTCTTAAAACCTAGAGATATGAGTTGTTACTATGAGTTGGTTATACATTGATTGCACGAAAACGCATTAGTAACTCGATGTTATAAAACGTGCCTTTGTGTATGATTCAACAAGTAGTAGAACAAGCCATATGAGTCGAAGTTTATCCATTCCTTTTACCTTCGGGATAAAAGCGATATCTGTGGGCCCCTCGATGATTTAGCGATGACACATGTGAGTGCTTGGCCAAGCCAGGACTGATTTGATTTGCTCAATCAGTCAGTCATCATAAATCGAAAATCGGGAAACAACAAATGGACAGAGAGAATGATTGTAATCCATGTCTCAGTCCATATGATATCTAGAATGGAGGAATATATGATCCCTTATCTAATGGACAAGTCATTGACAAGGTCAGAGTTCGACAGCGGCTTTAAGAGCTACGATTGCCAGTTAGGTTTTGAAGTCATACTCAATAATAGTTTTTAGACTTATCCAAGTGGGAGACTGTTGGATTAATGTCTAAGTCCATAACTATATTTGGTATGTACTTGACCCGACCCGGCATGGTCCATTTGGGTTGCACTTCACCGACACAATTTATATGGATAGTCTTTTGAGAATAGTATATTTATGATTTATATTAATATATTATAAGTTCTAATATATTAATATCGAATCATATTATTTAATTAGTATTGATCAAGAATTAATTTAGAATTAATTAAGTGATCAAAAAGAACTAATTAAATATGGACTCTTATATATATGGAATGGGCCAAGTTCATTTAGGTTGGGCTAAGCTTTCATGGATGGTCCATGGAGCTTTTAACCCATGGATCCTATGTAAATGAAAGGTCATGGGTATTAGGGTTTACATGGATGTAACCCTAATCCTCCATAATATATAAAGGGGTCCTTGGCTCACAAAATTAGAACAAGTGTGTGAAAATAAGAGTGGGCCGATTTTAGTGTGCATACATATTCTCTCAAGTTCTTCCAAGGTGTTTTGGTGATTTGTGATTCCATTTGAGGCTTCAACACTATTGGGGCTAAGCTCTTAAAGCTTGAAGACATCAAGCTACATCAAAAGGTATGTCATCTAACTAGAACTTTGTAGTATAGGTGCTTCATAATATGCTAGTTAGGATGAAACCTTGGAATAGTTAATATTTGCATGTATAATAGAGAAAACATAGATCCAAGGTTTATAGGGTTGCATGTACACCATAGGAGTGTTAGAATGATCAAAACCCAACACAACTTTACTCCAGCTTTGATTCACCACAAACTATGAAACACTTGCTCGGATCATCTCATCAAATCCATCCAACAACATCCACGAATTGAAGAATCTAAAAGGAGGAGGACCATAAGCAGCCTTAACTTCATGCAACAGAATAGGGCAATGGTCAAACCACAACCGGTCCAACACTGCCACCTGTAAACCCTGGAACCGGTAATAAATACCCTCAGACACCAAAGAATGATCTAACTTACTAAGCTTGACATTAGAAGAGTCAACCCTAGTAAATTTCTTCCCAATCATAGGCACATCCACACCCGCCACATCATTTATAAAATTATTAAAATCCTCAGCAAAAGAAGAACAAAAAACAGAACCAGACCTTTCCTCAACACTCCTAACCACATTAAAATCACCAAAAATGACATAATTACCCCCATATCTGGTAATAAAAGAAGAAATATAATTCCATAGTAATCTTTTCTCTATGATATCTTGAGGAGCATAAACATTCACCATACCACATTCCATATTAAATGGGACCTAGAAGCCTCGAACAATAACAACATTACTAATTTAATGGTACAAACAATACTAATTTTTTAAAACATATTTGGACCCCAAATCGATAAAATACCCCCGGATCTCCCACGAGTACTACTAAAAGCATAATCAAAACTACAATTCCACCACATACTTCTAACTTTGAATAGATCCAACTGAGTCATTCTAGTTTCCTATAACCCAAAACACAACACACCATTTTGAACACACAAAGACTTCACCCAATTCCTCTTATGAGAAGAACGGGTGCTACATATATTCAACGACATGCAATTCATTAAACAACTTGAATCACACCAATACTAGCCAAAATTTGTTTCACCTTATCTTTGTTACCCTCCATATCATACCCAAGCAACCTTCCCATTTCAACATATTGATTCATAATATCCAAAATATCTTCAATATTATCTGAGACTCGTTTTTTCAACAATATCGAAGAACCATGGGAACTAGCAGAATTAGACTTCATTTTACTAGTCCCAGGATTCAACTCTACATCACGCCTGAAACCAGGTGGCTGAGAAAGAGAGTCATCCGAAACATTATCATCACTCAACCCTTGCCCATCCAGCACCGTAGGGCCTGCCACTGTAGCAATGGGAACATCCGGCACTATTCCAGAACCAACAACACCTATCTGATCAACATTAGCATCAATCGGACCACCCACCGGAGCATCTATTGGCACCGAATTGGAGCTCCTCCTGTGAGCATCAAATTTTAAAGGATATATTTGAAAAAATCGGCCTTTCCGATCTACAAAACTTGCCCTCCCTGATATTACCATACTATTGTTCAATGCCAATTGAATTATCATTTTCCATATCAATAGACTTAAGTTTACCCTTAGGTGTCATTTCTCCTTCTTCTTAACTACACCATCATCAAAATCATTAACATCCTTTTCCGAATCACTCGCTAAAGAAGGAAGATCACAATCTAGTGCATCTTCATTACATAGAATATCAGGTTCCCAATTTGACAATTCTCTAACCACTACATCATACTTAATTCCTTGAACCACCAGAGACAGTTTATCCTGAATTAATAAAGGTTGAGCTGTTTTGATACAAACTCTTTTAATCGCCAATGGAGCTTGATTATCATCATCCAAGAAGCACACTTCACCCCAAATACCTGCCACCTTATTCACTGCACTATCATTCCATGCACAACATGGTAATCCAAGTATTTCAATCCAAACAACTCTCCCTACAACTTTAAACCCATTAACCACAGGCCTGAAGTTAGAGAAAAAAAAAAGCATGAACAGAAGAAGACTTCTTAAACTTAGAGCACACCAAGTCTGAATCAAACTCCACGTACACCCAATCACCACCCAAATATTTTATCTGTAAGTCATGGAACCCTTCCTCTTTCAACAAAACTAATAGCTTCGGAATCAACCTAACACTTCTTACTTGACAAAAAACTGATGGTTTTACAGCCAAATCGTTAATAATATCCTTACCCTCAAGAATAATCGACTTCTCAGCTTTATTCGGTTTTACAATACCACCCTTCACAGCATTGGCATAAGTCACTTTCTGGGTAGTATTACTACCGCCACCAACAGTATGCACATGGACCTGTGACTCCCCATGCACACGATTATTCTCCCTTCCAAACTTAGCCAAAGAAACAAAAACATGATAACTGCCAATCCAAAGATCACGAAGCTTCAATTCAAGTTGTTTCTCATCCTGCACTTTAAGAAATCTAACAAACACAAACCTTTTCCCAAACTTGGACAATTTTCAGGCAATATAAACATCCGAAACCCTCCCATACTTTTCACATATGGACCAAAGTTGCTTATTATCCAAGTCAGAAGGGAAATTAGTGAGAAAAAAAGGTGTAGATACCTTATCAACATTCCACCCACCTTTTTTATTGGGAATTTTCCAATCCGACATATCCTTACGACTCATCTGAACTATCCAGAATGAAGAATTAAGAATTAAAATATACTAGCAAGGAACCCTACCGGGAGAACGAAGCAAAAATGCGATAGCCAAAAGGGACAGAAATCACGAGCAACCAACCGGCGTTTGATCCCGTCGGGGAGCCTCCGAAATCGCCGGACGTGTAGGGTTTTTGTGTTACACTCTCCAAACTTTTAAAGGATCAGATTGTGGATGTTTAGACTTGATTGTGGATGTTTGGATTCTTATCGGGACGATGGTGGGAGTTCAATTAGGTAGGCTACGCTTTTATGAGGTAGACTGGCTTCTATGATTTATTGTCCAAAAGCATTGTATTTGTATTGTACTATATATTCCTATTCCTAATGAGATTGTGATCTATGGGAATATCTCACAAGTAGGTCGAGCCTTGTGATAACGGTGTTTGGTGAGTCACAAACCTAACTCAATATTTTGAAAGGTTAATGAATTAGGAGGGTAATAAAGTTTTAAATTTGTCCACATTAGGTCCTTAAGATCTTTTTTTTGTACATATTACACCAACATGGTTGTTACAACCATTTAAATGTTGTCCCTTAAAACGTTAAAATACCGACATTTAAACGGTTGTAACAACCATGTTGGTGTAATATGTACAAAAAGGACCTTAAGGACCTAATGTGGACAAATTTGAAACCGTATTACCCTTCTAGGTCATTAACCCTTTTAAAAGAGATTAGAGATACAAGATTTGTCTGGGATACCCCTTTATTTTGATACTGGCTTCACCACTGACTGATAAGCTATATGAAATTTAAATAATGACATAAAACGGCATTTAAAAAAGATATTTTCTATAATTAATTAAGGGATATATTTGGAAAATTTTAAAAACTCTTAAAAAGCTAGTCAGTAGCTTTTTAAAACGCTAGCTTGTAAGCTACTTTTTAGCTTGTCAAACATGACAACTTAAAAAGATGAAAAAGTAAGGTAGCTTATCAGCTAGCTGTGACGCGCCAAATATAACCTTAATCATTAAGACTTTAATTATTATTAGTTTTTTTTTTGGTAAAAATAACAAAAAATTGTTATGTAACCTTTCAATTAAAATTGTTGGTTGTAGTGAATAGCCGACTAAAAAGAGAAGATGAAATAATAAAACCATCTAACCAGATATTAATATAAATTGTAAAAGAGTTAAATGAAATGATAAAAATAATAAAAATGATATTTAAATCATTACAAGCATCCATGCAACTGGAAGTTGGAACCAAAAAACTATCCGTGTCAAAAAAAAAATCATAAATTTAACCTTTCAATTGAAATTGTTGGTTGTAGTGAATAGCCGACTAAAAAGTGAATATGAAATGATAAAACCATCTAACCAGATACTAATATAAATTGTAAAAGAGTTAAATGAAATGATAAAAATAATAAAAATGATATTTAAATCATTACAAGCATCAATGCAACTGGAAGTTGGAACCACGAAACTATCCGTGTCCAAAAAAAACTAAATACTAAATTTATGATTTTTTGTAACTCGTAAGATCCATTTATGTAATTACTCTAAAAGCTTCTAAGGATTAATGACCTAGGAGGTAATAAGGTTTTGTCCACATTAGGTTGTTAGAGTCTTTTTTGTACATATTATACCAACATAGTTATTATAACCGTTTAAATGTCGTCTTTTAAACGGTAAGAGGGGCGACATTTAAACGGTTATAACAACTATGTTGATGTAATATGTACAAAAAGGGACTGAATATGAAAAAAATTGAAACTTTATTACCTTCTATGTCATTAACCATATCTTGAAAAGATCGACCAATGCTTCAAATTCATAAAGCACCTACATTATATTATAGCCTTTTAAATTGGCTTCAAATAAAATGTCAAAAACATAATAAGTTTTTTTTTAATCATAAAAACATAAACAAAAGATAATGTAAACTGTTATCTAATAAATATTAATCGGAATTTAGGATAATATTATATTAATAAAATATTATCTTGAAAATGTATAAATATAATCACATTCTTCATCCTATAAAAAAAAAAGAAAAAAAGAAAAATATAAATCAGAATAAAAAGAAAATAGAAGAAAAAATAGCTGGAGAAAGAATATATATATATATATATATATATATATATATATATATATATATATATATATATATATATATATATATATATATATATTAGTGGTTGAAGGAGATAGAAAACAAATATGATTATATAGTTTTGGAACTTGAAAATTAATATTTATTTTTATAGTATAGAGTGTAGTTATAAAATAGAACAAAGTGTATAAATAAACGAGAGCGTTACACTTTTAAAGTAAACTAGGAACCAAAACCAAATCATACTTCGATTTAATAAAAAGAACTAACGGCAAATATATTTTTGGGTTTAAGGAGTTTGGCTATCCACAGATTATAGTTTTGTAACACCTTAATTTAAAATGAAAGAAAAAAGAAAAGAGTTCAGGGATGATTTCGATTGTAACTAATACTTGACCCTTAACTTTTTCCTCTTGTCATAGTTTGATTCATCATACTTCTAGTTTGTATTACATGCGAAAAAAAGAGTCATTTTAATGACACAAGATTTGTTCTAGCCATGTAAAGCCACCAAACTTATTGAACACAAATGGAGCAAGAACCCATCGTCTTCTTGTAATAGATTCTCTCCTTTTTGTCCAAGTTAACAACTTATTGACCATAAACACGTTCAAACCCTAAAAGTAGATTTTCACCAAGGGTTATAAATATAGATATATTAGAGATTTTCTCATTAAAACCAAGACAAAAATCAACCCAAACATGGTTAGCCTAAGACTCACATTACTCATATTCTTAACCATCCTTAATTTTCCCTTCGATCACGGTGAAATCGTCTCTTCAAAACCTCAAGGAATCCGAGCAGCATATTGGCCTTCGTTCACCGGATATGCCGCTTCTTCTATTGACACATCCTACTTCTCTCATATTTACTACGCATTCGTTCTACCATCTCCAACAACTTACGCGCTCGACATCACCTCAGATGATGTCGAGAAGCTACTAGAATTTACCAATGCAACAAGTCTTTGGAATCCGCCAGCTAAGACCGTGTTGTCGATCGGAGGTGGGGGAGGTGGTGCATTACCGGGCATCTTCTCTTCGATGACGAGCGAACAGTATTCTCGGACGAACTTTATTAATTCAACTATCAAAGTTGCCCGAGATTACAATTTTGACGGGGTTGATCTTGATTGGGAACTCCCGTCAAACGAATCTGATATGTCAAACCTCGGTTTGTTATTTAAGGAATGGCGTGAGACAATTGAATATGAGGCTAATGCCACAGGAAGACCACGTCTTATACTGACATCAGTAGTCTATTATGCCTCAACTGTCTCCTTTGACGGTGGACCCCGATCGTACCCAACTGTGGAAATAACTAAATATGTTGATTGGGTTAGTCCGATGTGTTTTGGTTATCACGGATCTTGGGAAAATTTCACGGGGTTAGGTTCTGCATTATACGACCCGAACACCAATCTCAGCACAAATTTTGGTATCGGGTCGTGGATTCAGGCTGGTGTGCCATCAGAAAAGATTGTGTTGGGCATGCCATTGTATGGCCCAACATGGTCACTCCAGGACCGAAATGATAACATCATTGGAGCCCCGACCACCGGGACGGGCCCGGGAAGTGGTCTATTGGTTTACTCACAAGTTATCGATTTCAATAAGGAGAACAATTCAACTATTGTATTTGATAACACAATGGTTTCATATTATTCGTATTCGGGGGATTCATGGATCTCATATGATGATGTTCGATCGATTGAATTGAAGGTCCGTTATGCACAAAGTCAGGCCCTAGGTGGGTACTTCTTTTGGGCCTTGGGCCAAGATTTGGATTGGGCAATTTCGAATGCAGCATCAGAAACATGGTTAAATTGATAGTTGTCGAATGTTATTTATATCTATGTAAAAGTGCAATGAGAAGCTCGCTTAACGTTCTTTTATGTTTTAATGTTTTCTTATAAACTGTCGTTACACGAGTATATTCACCAAGTCCAAGAACGAGGCTCTTGGAGGCACAAATGCTACTTAAACTTATCTTACTAAAATTAGAATTTGTAAAGATTTCAAAAAATACTACTGGTTTTTTGTTAGTTACAAAGAGGTTATATAAACAATGAGAATACCAACTATATATTATAGACAAAAGAAATTGCAAATATGTTAATTCTTGATAAAAGTAACAGTATCGGGTATAAAAATTAAAGACGAGTACATAAAATATATCCTTTTTTTTTTCCCTCTCGATCATGGGACCCTAACAAAGACAGCAAACTCGTAATCTATACACACAGAAAGCCGTCCAACATCAAAACCGGCAATCGGGTAGACACAGTTTTACATAAAAATAACCAAAAATAAACAATAAAACACCTCACCATATCTCGTACTTTCAAATAACCGTGTACCTTCCTGACACAGGTTCCAGCTGGATCTCCATTCTTTCCGATTCCGATTCCTTCTCCCTGTGATTCCCATTCCCATTCCCCAAAAGATCGGCATCCTCATCTTCCCCGTTACCCAAAACCCAATTCCCACCCAATCCCGATTCCGATTCCCGTCTCCGCTTTTGCTCCATGTATTCCAAATACAAAACGGTCAAACCGCATAACCCGACCCAGATAATCAAAGCCCATGTTAACCCGATTGTGTTTTTGTCATCATATCGATTTCCTAATTGCTTCATTCCACTAATAAGAGCAGCAATCCCCATTACAATCGCGGATCGGCCCGTGTACGAGTGAACAAATTCCCAAATCGCCCTTTTGAACGACAGGTTTTCGTTCGCGGGCTTTTTCGGTCTAAAATACGCGTTAACCGGTTGTATACAACCCGTTAAAATAGTCAAGATTCCAAATTTGACATGTAAAGATTCCAAATGGAAAGCACGAAGCTCTGCAATTGCAAAAAGTAGCCCGAGAAATGTTATTGCTAACCCCGAGTATTGCGAGT